TAAACTAGTAAAAACTAAGTATTCTTTATAGTACTATATATATCATTACTGTCTCTCTGATTAGAATCTATTTACAGAATATATAAGAAGTAACCTCAGACTAGTATGTCTGAAAAGTAAAATAGAGCCAATCGGATATGTAGTTACAAAGCTACAAACTAATCAAGATGGACCATCTTTGTAACCCGAGCTGGTACTCAGTTAGGTTAATATGTTTTATGTTTTGTTTTAAGTCTTGATTGATACTTAGTTTGTTTTATATTTTGTTTTAAGTATTGGTTGATACTAGGTTATTTTTATGGTTTGATTGAGTAAGAAAATAAGTAAGAATTCATGATCGCACTCAAAAACATGTACTTAAAAAGACTGCTGTCTTCCACTCTGGAAATGGCAGACTTCGACAGACAGTATTCTAATATACTCGGTTGAACAGTTATTTCTATTTTCCTGCTACACCACCGAAGCCTTCCTTAGTGAGCCTAGAATCATTAATCTCTGGCAGATTAGCGCTCCGCTCCTATTGTATCCGATAATGTGACTAGCGCCTCGGCGTAAACACATTACAATCTTAAATATGTTCTGAACTTGAAAGTGATAGAATAAAATTACTAATAGTTTAATAAGTTTCCAGGACATACTCATAATAATCAAAAACATAAACCAAGCTATTTTTGCATAGAACTAAGCCAATAGAAGACCTATTAGTGGTTGAAAAATATTTCTCATAATATTGGTTAGTTTAGTCATGGTAGGAAGTCATGAGGATTGATAAAGCTAAGTTATAAAGTTAATAATGTATTAATAAGTCTCTTGATAGAGCTGGTCACTCCAGTTAGGAAAAGGAAGATAGTCAGTTGACTCAAGTAGAAGCTGCTTATCTAACAAGAACCTCCATGATAAAAAAATTATAAGTATTTACTAAAGAGGCCCTAAGGACCTCATAGGAATAATGATAGCTTACAGACCTGAAAACCATAGTTTGAGTAAGAAAAAGAGTTTCAAGATAAATGAGATCTCTATTATAACAGTTAAGGATAGAAATAGTAGATAGTACTGTTAGAAGGCAGGTAACTCTAAAAACAAGTAAGTATATAGGACTAGGCTCAGTAATCTTCTGTCTCAGAAATAGTTAAGAAAGTTCATAAGGTAGAAGTATAAAGTAGAATGAATATATTGATAAGATCTCCTCTCTTGTTACTAATGATAACTTAAAGCTAGAGAGAGTCTTCCTTACTAACTATATACCTACTATACTAATGATTCAGTATCTTGAGAGTGTAAACTCTCTTTGACTCTGAAAACTAGCTACTCTACTCTTGTACTAGGTAGAGTGATCAACTCTGTCAAAGGACTTATCAATACCTTTTTATATGCATAGCTTAGAGTGCATGATAGAGATAATCAATTTGACCAACTAAGAGTTTACT